ACCCTAAACCCTAAACCCTCAGGCTCGACTTCAGGGTCGCGCCTGCCAGTGGCGGGTCCCCTCTGTGAAGCCACGGGTCCCGCGTTTCTTTGAACCCCAGACTCGGTAAGCCGACAGAGGCGAAGGATGACCCCCCAAAAACCCTAAACTTTAGAGTTTAGGGTTTACTGAAGTTTTGGGGTTTCGGGGGTTATCCATCGTTTCACACCCTGTAGGGTCTAGGATTTAAAGATGCGGGCTTAGTCTCAGGGCTTTGCTTGCTCTTCGATCGGCTCGCAAGTTCCCTTGCGGGCTTCCAAGCCCAAAGGTAGCAAAGCACCTTAAACTTCTCAATCCCTAAACCTAAACCCTGGTCCCAAACCCCGCAGAACCCTAAACCCTAAACCCCTCGGCAAGTTTTGCATCAGAAGGTTGTCAGTGTCTCCAACAGCAGCCTTGGTAGCGAGGTGGACGATGCTAGGACAGGGCTGTCCTTGTCATAGCTTCCCTACATAAGATTGGGGAGTGATGTTTGGTAGAGGGTATGCCTTGCTTGGAGGTTCCTGTGAATGGACTAAGGTTGCCCCAGTTTCTTATGCCTGCAGGATTGTGGATCCCGAAAGTATGCGTAGAGGTAAGGAGCCATAGTTCCACATAATACAGGATAATGTTCTTAATATAGTACTAACAATACAGCAACATGTAGTCCAGTATAGTATAGCACAGTATAGCATAGTTTAGCATAGTACAGCATAATATAGCATAGTATAGCACAGTATAGTATAGTATAGCATAGTCTAGTATGGTACGTCAGTATAGCATAGTATAGCATAGTCCAGCATAGTATAACATAGTACAGCGTAATATAGCATAGTGTAGCACAGTATAGCATAGTATCCCATAGTAAAGCATAGTATAGTGAAGTGTAGTATGGTATGGTATGCTATGGTATAGTAGAGTAGAGGAGACGAGAGGCGAGTTAAACCCTAAACCCCTAAACCCTAAACCCTATAGTTTAGTATAGTTTAGCACAAGCATCAGAACGGGAAACCCTGTGCCAGGAAGCGCTGGGCGAAGGAATGGTTCTACCAGGGCATGCAGAACATGGTAAAAGAGCTCGGCGCCATCGCTCTCAAAGCTGCCATCAGTGGGTTTTGGTCTGAGATCCTGGGGAGTCTCTGGCAAGCTTTCTTCCCACCGCCCTTTTCGAAGGAGGAGGCCATCATGAAGCTCATGATGGAGTGGACCGAGCAGTACGTGCAGCGTGCCATCGCCGCAGAGGTCAAGAATGACATCGCCGGGATGATGTGTACCTTAGTAGCTGGGTGAGTACACTTTACACTTTTTGGGATTCTATGATCCCTTATAGAACTGAAAGTGCACACTTTTTGGGGCTTATGAACTCAGCAACTAAGGTACTCTTGAGGAGACAACAGGCGAGCTGAACAAGTGCATGGCCAGCTTGATTCTGGATGCATGTAGTGATTCTGTAGATAGACAGATGGGTGGTAGGTAGATGGATAGAACGAATCAAAAAGCGCTGTGATCCATTTTGCAAATAGATAGATAGATAGATGGATGGATAGATAGAAAGATAGATGGAAGATGGGCAGTATTCGTAGGAAAGCAACTGAGAATGCATAGCATGGCTGTCGCAATCATCATAAGAAGTTCATTGCATATTAGCAGTACTGCGGGTAGAACTGTAGACTTCACAGGAAGTCCATGTTTGGGGGCTAGATTCGTATATAGACTTTAAAGCATTTTATAATGTTAACAGGGGGCTTGGTAAGGTTCCTATAACGGTTCTTCAAGGGGGCTCCAAGTTTATTTCAACCTAGACCGTCAATGTAGTTTTTCATGTGATTGCGTTGTTACCTTGCATTCGGGTCCTAGCCGAAGAACCGCAATTGGAGAGTTTCGGTAGACCCTCGTCCCTAATCCCCCAACCCCAAACCCCCTAAACTCCTAAACCCCTAAACCCTTAGCCCATAAACCTTAAAACCTGAACTCCCAAACCCTAGCCCTGAAGCCTTAAACCCTAAACCCCTAAACCCTGAACCCTAAACCCTTGAAGCCCTGAAGCCTTGAACCCTAAACCCCTAAACCCTGAACCTTAAACCCTTAAAGCCCTGAAGCCCTAAACCCGAGAGTGTCGAGCAGCGGCCCAGGAAGGAGGAGATCGAAAAGGTTAAGAAGCAGAGGCAGGAGGTCGAGGACGGTCCGGCACGGTTTAAGGTTTAGGGTTTAGGATTTAGGGTTTAGGGTTTAGGGTTTGGGGTTTAGGGTTTAGGGTGTTAGGGTGTTAGGGTTTGGGGT